TTTTGCTGCTGCATTTTTCTCTTCATTGCGGTTTTCACGTGTTGCTATTTCTGCAAGCTTTCCATTTTTCAGTGTTGCTTTTGTTTTCTGTGTGTTTTTTTTTATTTCGGTCTCTGTTGTGACTGCCATGAATAAGTAGCATGAACTGCAAACAAAAACAAATACAAAAGCAAGCAGGCAAAAAAAAAGAAAGATTTCAACGCATGCCCCAGCTGCACCGCCCCCTGCCACTCCCACTCCCCCAACCACAACCAGCTGCAACTAAACCCACGCGCTGCCCACGCCGCCGCGACGCCGACGTCGACGCTGGCTGCGCTGTAAGCGCTTGGCGTGCTAATAACTCAGCATTTGTTTTAATTTCTGTTGTTTTTGTTGATGATTTGTTTGCTGAATGACTTTTTATGTTGCGCTTGTTTTGGCTACTACTTTTCTCGCTGTGTCTGCGTTTGTTCAGTGTTTGCCATTTTTTTTGTTGATGTTTTTTTCTTTTTTTTTTTTTTGGTGATATTTTGTTTGTTTATTTTTTGTGTGTTGTATTTTGTTTTTGTGTATTTGGCAAGTTTATTATATATTCTACACAGTTTTTGCCCTTGCTGCTGGCTGCTGCTGCCGGTTTTAGTTTTTGGTAAATTATTTTCTGGCAGCCAACATAAATACATATACAATTTATCAACTTGGCTTAGAGAGTGCGGCTTTTTGTATTTGTCCAATTTGCTTTCTCTCTCTCTCCCCCTCTCACTCTCTCTCTCTGTCAGTCTCCAACCTGTCGTCTCATATTTCTCTAGCTGACTGCTTTTGTTTGTTTTTTTTTGTTAGTGTTGTCAGTTTTTTATTGAGCATCAGCTCGTTTATCAGACTTGAGAACATATTGAACATTGTCACCTAATAATATTGACACTTTGCTCAGCGAACAAACGTTTCAGTTGCCGATTTAGATTCAGCTATTCTTATTACCATTCCCTTTGCCACATTAGCAGCAGCAGCAGCAGCAGCAGCAGCAGCAGCAGCAGCAGCGCCCACGATTACGATCCGAAAACGAGCCACGCACACAATCAGCAAATTAAGTGATTATGTTAACCGGTTGTTGTTGTTGTTGTTTTTGTTGCTTTGAGTTTTTCGGTATGAGAGGCTGCCACAAAAGCCGGGCCCAAAACAGAAAAATTTACATGAAAATTAACTTGTTATGTGCCAAGCAACAACAACAGCAAATACAACAACAGAGCAACAAAAAGAGAGCAACAAGCAGCGACAATTTGAAGTTAAACTGAAACCGAACCGAAACCGAACTGAACCGCAGCCGAAGCTGAAGCTGAAGCTGAATCTGAATCTCAATCTGAACACCAAGCTGACAACCACTTCAGCTCCAGCTGAAGCTCCAGTTTTGCTGGCTACAAAAGTGGTTTCAATTCTTCATCTGTACACTCTGAAAAATATGAAGCCCACAGTTTAGAAAACAGAAAATATAAAATGGAAATTAAAATTAAAATTCAGATCCTTGCCTAATTGAAAATTTCTTTGCCAAAAACTTTAATGAATAATAAAAGTGAGTCTATTTTCTACACTGAAGACCACTTTTTATTCTCCAAGTGTACTGCCGGCAAAATAATTTGGTATAATTTCAAAATTAGAGCTCATCATTAAGCCATATCAAAGTTGTTGGCGTTCAGTCGGCAGACTTCTTGGCCATGCTTCGTTGCCTGCTGCTGCTGCTGGTGCTGCTGCTGTTGTTGTCTTGGGCCCATAAGCTACAACCACAGACAACAACTACACTGGACTACATAGCACATACACATATAGTTCATATGTGTCGCACACTATTGCCATTTTAGATTAGATAAACACGGTAATTTGCATAGTTTTGCTTTTTATATTTTGTTGACTGGCTTAAAGATTGTGGGAAAGCAAATACAGATAATTGACTCATAAATGAGCATAAAATGGAGCTAAATCAACAAGAGCAATTGTTGGTCATGTTGCTTTGCTTGTAGCCCGACTTAAACGTGCCCAAATTCACCCAACTAACGTGCAAAACTTTTCTTGTTTTCATTTTTTTTGGCACAACTTTTGCTAACTTCTTTTTTTTTTCTTAACTTGGCTGCAAGTGCAACAAGCTTAAGCATTACATTAAAGCCATGCAGCTAAGAGCACAAGGCCGGACAGCGATAAATAAATTCCATACGCTGGCAATCGCCCTTTTGAGCTGCTCTTTGTATGCCTAAACCTAAATCGCACGAACTGAAAGCAGTTTCTTGTTTTTGTTAGCCAACAGTTTGCGACTTCCGTCATATAAATTTTTAGATTTTCCAATTTGGATTTGCAACACGTACGCCAAATGAGCAAGCGAAGCTAATCAAAGCTGTAGCTTCACTTGTTCTATCTGAAGAGATCAGCAGAGATCAGAAGAGATCAGAAGAGAAAAGGGGAAGTCGGGTTTTTGAATTGCTTAATTCAAATTAGCCGCTTTATAAACGAAGCTGCTAATGTCTCAATCGATCGGCTGTTTCTGTATCTCTATCTCTATATCTATTTGTATATTTGTTTAGATGACAAAACTGCTTTTGCTGTTTTGCTGTTTTGCTGGTCTCAGTCTCAGTCTCAGTCTCAGTTTTATTTATGACCACAACGCCATTACAGTTCTCACTGTATGCTTGGTATCTGTTTCTATGTTTATTCAAATCTGCTGGCAAATGTTCTTTTCATTTGGCTTCTTTTTTAGCGACAAAGTTGATTCCACACTTCTTGTGCTGATGTCTTGAACCCTCTCTCTCTCTGTGTGTGTGTGTGCTTGTTTCGTTTCTGTTTTGTCTGGGGCAGCTGTTGTCTGGCAGGTCTAGAGTCTAGACGGAAGGAAGCTGCTTCCACAAGCTGCACTTGAACCCGAGAGAAACCCACCATTTTTTGCACATCACCCCTCGCCCAGCAATTTGTGAATGTGAATGAAAAAACAAAACATTCATGAATGAAATGAGGGTGCTTTCTGATAAACAGCAGCCGTATCGTTGTCGCTTCCCTGGGAACGCAACTTGCCACACTCGAACAAACTGCAATATTAGTAATACTTAAGCCACTCTTTTAATTTTTAGTATTTCTGCCAAGTTCTAAATACTGCAGCATATTTTTAAGAGACAATAATATTTAAAACAGTCAAAAATTATTTTTAATATTTTTATTATTTAACTGTCTTCAGCTAAATTCTAAATACTGCTACACATTTTTGCAGAGTGCATTAAGAAACAAACACACACACACACAGACACAGACAGGCCAACACACTCTTGCCGCTAGACACCTTTATTGTGGCAGAGATCTTGATGTCCGGACTCATGTGGGGTACTTAGTGGCTTTTGTTACTGCTGCTGCTGCTGCTGCTGCTGTTGTTGCAACTCTTGTCTGGCTGCAACTATTGTCAAGCTTTTAATTACAGATGTCTATTAGTATTTGTTATCTAAGTATATACTGCTGAGCTAGCTGATTTCAACTTATATATATATATATAGACTATATGTGTGGCAAAGGTTCTTGCCGCAATTGCATTGGCTAGCGAGTTGACTAGCTGTTAATTGACTCGAGTTTTCCAACTAATTGAAACTTTTGCGTTTTTGCACACGCTGCGTATACTTAATATGCTTGCAGCTGGCTGTTGTAAGTGCTCTTTTGCTTAACTTTGTGCAACATTTTGGCTTAATGCTAATTGGCACGTGTCCATTGCCACATTACACTATCAATGCTTTTCTTGTTGCTGTTGTTCTCGATGTGCTGATTATTGCTCTCTGCCATTTTGAATGTAATGAGTATTGTTGGCTAACTGTAACAAGGCCAAAACTAATCACAAATCTCATTAATGTGCATGTGATATCTGACTAAGTTAATTTCGTGTGTTTCTCACGATGTCACAATTATGGCTAGATAATAATACCTATTAGGAAGCTGGTCTCTTAATTACAGCTGTGCTAAAGTTCTTGATTAAATTAGTAAAGGTCTTTTAATTTTATTCGTGTATGTCATAAGAAAGTTAAGAGCTTTAGATGAGAACTCACTTTTTGTTTGCAGCACAGCAACAGCTAAATTAAATCAATTATTTTTTACATATTCAATAAGAGATTAAAGAGATTTACTACTTATAAGAGAAGCTGAGAGAAACTTTTGTTTGAAAAATGTACAATGAAAAAATATAAATAACTTGCTAAATAAATTATTGATAATGATAATAATAAATATATATATATCGTAAATGGGATGTATACATCTATATATATATATATATAATATTTGTTCGAGCTTAAGCATATCTAGAATTATTAAATTTAGTCTTAACTTTGAGCTAAGAATGAAAGTCGTTCAACTCACTTTCTGCAAACAAAACTAGGTCTTTCAATGACTTCTCAACTACATCATTTAAAGTTGACAAAAACCAAGAAAGAAAAAAACAAAAACACATTTGAAATTCAGGCCATTAAATCACGCCCTTGTTAACTGGGTCTAATGTGTTGTCATTTTGTGTGCTGCTCCAGTTAATGGACATAGTACAAGTATTATGCCAACATTAAGTAGCTTGTTAGATACACACACACACACACACACACACACATTAAGTATTGGTTGTTGTATGTAAAACGCCACTTGAATTGTCAATTTATACGAAATGCAAACACAATCAAAACACACAACAAACACACAAACATTTAAATGGCAGGCAACGAGAAAAGTTGTCAACTGTCAAATTTAATCATGAATATTATAAAACCCGACCTACAACAGATACATGACTAGATAAACAAAGCAAGACTGCAAATAATGTCAAAGTGTCGCTTCAAGCATTTGCTGTTTTTGTTTATTTATTTTTTTTCATTTGGTTTATTAGCTGGTTTTTTTTTTTTTGTTTTGGCTTTGGTTTTGACTAACTGACATTGTTTTTGACTGCTTTTGCGGCTAATTACAGTGGATATATTTGTGACAAGAATTTGATGGGAATGTTTTAATTTTTGTTTATTTGTTTTTACCTTTGATGAATCAGCAGCAGCAGCTTTGCTTCTTTGACTGTGTGTTTTACAAATGGCGTGCAGAAGAAGAAGAAGCAAAAGAAGCAGCAGCAGCCGCTTCCGTTTCCTGTTGAGCGCCGGCTCTGCGAAAAATATCCAATTAGAACTTGCAGCTGCGCAGGCGTCACTGCGAAAACTTTCCAGCACACAACTTTTTCCACTTAAAATTTGTATATTTCTTATGCCTTAGCTACTTTTTTTTTTTTTTTTTTTAATTTGTTGCACTTTGTTGTGTTGTTATTATATTCAATTTGCACTCCAAAATTATTTGTTGCACAAAACTTCAACTTGCAATTTGTTATCGGTTTTGTGGCAGCTTTGGCACTTTTATCAATATTTAAAATCTAAGCGTTTATCATAACGGTAAATGCAATTTGTTACTACTAGAAACGGACAGCGTGAGAGAGAGACAGAGTGAGAGTGAGCGAGTGAGATGGAGGCACTTTTGGGCACAACAACACAAAAAAACTTAATAATTATTTTTATACTTCTGCTTGTTTAATTTCCGATCAAAATTTTGCTTGGATAATTTGTATTTTGGGCTTTTGGCGTGTTTTTCTTTTATTTTTGCGAATTTCTCGTCATGTGCGAAAGGCGAACGAAAGGCGAAAGAACAAAACGAGCGGCCGCGCCGAATTTTCTTGTACGAGCGCCTAAAATCAACTGACTCGAAACGCAGCGCAGTCGTTTCACTCAAGCGTTCGCTTGGATTTCGATGCACTCACTGAATGTTTGTCACTCAGCGTGCAAACCAAAATGTTGCGCATCAAACCTAGTTGCAATCGAACTAGCCAACCAGGCAACCAGTCTGCTCGGTTTCCAGTTCGTTTCAATTGCCAACGTTCCAACCGCTGCGTTTCGTTCCGTTCGCTTGTGCTCAAAAAACCTGTTTGGTTCGCTGCTGAGTGCAAACAGGTTTCGTTATATTTCTTTTTGAGCGCGAGCGCATTTTGCCTAATTACTCAATTATGCTGCCGACACTCTGAGTCGCTGCAAGTGCGAGCGAGATAGCAAGCGCGAATGAGCTGTGCTTTGCAATTTAGTGGTTATAATTTTAGAAATTTATTGTTTTATCTGTTCGAGTTCACAGCTCCATCAAGCTGTACATATTTCATTGCCGCCAAGCATACAAAGTTGCAACCCAACCAAAGGATTCTCACTCAAAGGCGTCACTTTGATAACCGTGAGAAATTTAGAGCTGCGCTGTTAGCTTTATAGTTAGATATCAATAAAGCTGAACATGAGTAAAAGCAAGAAGAAAATAATTAGAAATTTATTAAACTTCTACCATGGGTTATATATCAATTTCAACTTCTTCGCTACTTTCTGATTTTTTTTCTTGTTTGTTTTTAGCAAGAACTGATTCCTGGCATTCCTTCACTTGAACAAACCCCATAAATATTTATGTGAGTCCTAAACACCAATTTCCATTTCCATTTCTATTTACCATTTCCAGTTTCATTCTTTTTCTCGCTTACTCTTGCATTTCTCGTCAAATGCTTTAAGTTGGCCAATTTGTTACGGTACTTTTGGCTATTTTGCACAAGAACTGGCCGCCGTCTTCCAGTCTTCCAGTCTGCTTCTACAAACTTGGGCTTTGCAGCTTGCGTACTTATGCAAGGCAACGCACTTAAAGAAGATGCCGCATGGATAATAACCCAAAGAGAGACAGAGAGAGAGACAGAGAGAGAGAGAGAGAGAGAGAGAGAGCGTATGTGAGAGATGCAGAGAGATTTATGTGTGGGTATTTGTGACAAGTGTCTTTCATTAGCATAAGTAAATCTTCGGGAATCCTCAAATTTATTTGTCAACACTTGACAATTTCATTGTTGACGCTGACCAAGGCGCAGCTGTAAACGGAACGAAACGAAACGAACAACAAATCATGATTTGCTGTGTGTGCGTGTGTGTGTGTGTGTGTGCATGTCATTTTCACATTGTCAAGCTAACACTTCCCCCCGCCTCTCCCCCTTCGACAGTACACCAACCTTGGCGAAGGAGCATGCGCTGCTTAAAACTTAAAATAAGCAAAACGGTCAACGGACAATGAATGCATTTGGTCAAAGAGAGTTGCCGTCATCATCTCTCTTGTTCTTGTTGCTGTTGTTGTTGTTGTTGCAAGTGTCGCCTTAAGTCCCAACTACGGCTTAAATCAAAGACAAATATTTACCCACAAGCAGACATAACATTAGCTTTGCTTTCAGCCTGCAGCATGCAGCTCTTCTTCCCTTTCACTCACCCCTTCACTTCTACCCTGCCCCTTTCCCTGACCCTGCCCCTTCCCCATCATCGTTTTTTTCATTAGCAATGTGTGAAAATGCAGCACAAGATTCCCAGCTAAAGCTTCGGTATTTATATTTAACACTCTGCTAACAATATTTGCATTAACATTACTTTGGCAAAAACATTATCCATTTGGCTAGTAGACTTCAAGAAATAGTTTTATATTTATTCATATATTCTTACAAATTATCCGAAGATATTTCAAATTTTTATATTTAAGTATTATCAAAATCAAAAGCCACATTGTAGATCTTTGATCATCAAAAATCTTTTCAAAAGTGATCAATTATTGGAGTTCAAATGTTCTGCAATTGCTTACACAGAAATATTCTTCATTTTTCACAAATCTAACAACTCTGAATTTGAATTTCAATAATCTTGAGAATTCTTACACTTTACAAGTTTTTGCTAAGCTTTGCGAATCTTGGGATACCCTTTCAAAATATGAGCACTTCTTAAGAATATAATGCCATCTAATCCGAATTTTCTCTCTAAATTAACCTTAAGAGAGTTTTCATCATTTTTTTCAAACATATATTTATTCAAAATTAGAGCCTTCAAAACATTTATTAAAAATATGATGCCATTTTCTGAGGTATATATTTATTGCTATAAATAAATATATATTTGGGGTTTTCTTTTAATAATAAGTGCAGGCTTTCACTTGCAGTCTTTGTATGATATTATTACGGGTCATAATGTGGCGAGAGGCAGTGGCCTGGCCATGGCTAATTGCTCGACTGCTGAGCAGGCCCCCCAAAAATGGATGCTATTAATGCCGTTGGCCAAAAGGAGACGAAGACTTTGACAGCTTGGACTTTTCTTATCTTGCTTATCGCGACAGTGTCAACGTCGTCGTCGTCATCATCACCATCATCATCGTTGTGGCAGTGGCATAGTCAGAGAGACGTAGCTGTGGCATTATGGCCAACACTCCATTACAAACAAAGCCATTGCCATTCATTAACAGTTGCGGCTTTTGTGCACCGCTGGCGTCTTCTCTTCTCTCCCTCTCCTCTCCTCTACTCTCTCTTTCGATGCCTCATCTTAGCCATCTTAGCCTGCTGAATTTCTGCTGTCGCCGCAGTAAAAGTTGGCAACGGTTTCGACTTCAACTTCTTCTGCGACTTGAAATTGTGGTTTGTGGCACGGAACGGAGTGGGCGGGGGCTATCTGCGTCGCTGCCCATAATGCCAACGTAATCTCAAATTACTGCAAATTTTCGCTACTCACCTTTTTTTTTATGGGTTTTTCTTTTCTTATTCTTTATTGTTTTATTGTGCATTTCCAATGCAGTTTTTTTCTTGTATTGGTTTCTTGTTCATTTCTGTCTTGGGGCGCATCTTCTTCATTTCGATATGTTTGCTGTAAACTTTTGCATTATTTTGATTGTTCAGCATGTTATTGTGTTGTCAATAAGCCCGTCTTTTATGCCACCTAATGTATCTTTCCGATGCTGCAAGCACACTCACATAATCACAGCGCATTTCCGCCATAGACAACTTGTTGCAAGCGCCTCCCCCCGCCGTGCCCCAACGAATCCTCGGCGATTATGGTGTGGACAGGTGTGCGCTGATGGCCATTGAAAAGCGTTTGATAGCGTCAAAGAGTGATGTATTTAATGATTTGTTTTTCCAAACACGCATGTGGGGAAATGTAAACGCCGCTGGGGAAATACTCAAGTTTATCTCCAACTTAAACATACATATTCAATACATACATAACTCCAAGATAAACATATATAACTTTTGCAATTTTCTCTCTCGCCAGCTTCCTGTTCTAAAGTTCTCTGAATAAAAACTAGACATCAAGCAGTCGATTGCTCGAAAAGAGTTAATGTTTGTGCCCCCTTGTGGAAATAAGGGGGAGAGGATCTAAGCTTCCCTCAACTTTTGATCGTTTTTGACCTCTACAATAAAACTGCATTTAAATTTAAAATAATGTTTCTCTGTCGAAATGCATAGCCAAATGTTATACCAAAAAAATTGATTTAGGGAGAGGTAAAAAATTCCTACTCCTAAAACAGATATATTAATTAAATTTACTTTTTTCAGAGTACAATCTAAAGATATTAGAGAGTAAAAAGAAATTATATTAATAATGAAAAAGGTAATCAATTTACCAGCTAATTCAAAGTGTCAGTCCATATGGCACCTTCTGCCGCTATTGGACATGTCCATAAAGCCAGATGCCCATCCTTAATGTTGGATTGAAGTCCTCGCGGGGGCACCTGTTGCAAAGCGTTTGCTTTGAGAAACCCAAAGCCAAATCGGGATTGCGACAATTGCTGTACATACATCATACAGAACTTTAATTGTGCTTGGCACTCAATCTTTCAATCACGCCAGACCTCCTCGCCACAGCGAGATGGGGCAAGAGAGGTGGTTGCGAATTACATACGGCTGACTGAGCGCACATCGCAAAAGACCGCATGGGAAAGAGCGGGCCAAAGAGGGACACAATATAATCTATATAATCATAAGAGTGGAGTATGTTGTAACATGTGCAAGAGAAGACACACTGAGAAGAGCAATGCGTCAATGCCTCGCCCCTCGACTCTCGAGCGTTGCACGCATTTTGCGACATGTTGTCAACTCGAATTGCGTTCGACTGATTGAAGGCACCAGGCCCAACCCAGTTGAGAGGAGCCACAGTCGCCAGTCGACGCGACAAGTTGTTGTTGGCCAAAGTCTGGACAAAGTAGGCATAAAGGCAGCACAACTGGCCCATGACGCAGAAGCAGACAGGTTTATTTTTTTTGTTTTTGTTTTGCTAGTCGTCTGCTGCTGGGGCAAACAGTTTTCGGGTAGGCGTTGCAAGCAGATTGATCAAGAGGGTACCGGGCAAATGTCTCGACATTTGTCTAAGTCTCAGCCTTGTTTACCTTTTTGCG